GAGATAAGACATTCTAGTCCCGCCTTAGGCATGAAAGCTGGCTGGGTGACATTGGGCCAATCACCAGGAGATAAGAAGTTCTAGTCCCGCCTTAGGCATGAAAGTTGGCTGAATGTCATTGGGCCAATCACCAGGAGATAAGAAGTTCTAGTCCCGCCTTAGGCATGAAAGCTGGCTGGATGACATTGGACCAATCACCAGGAGATAAGAAGTTCTAGTCCCGCCTTGGGATTGAAAGCTGGCTGGATGTCATTGGGCCAATCACCAGGAGATAAGAAGTTCTAGTCCCGCTTTAGGATTGAAAGCTGGCTGGATGCCATTGGGCCAATCACCAGGAGACGGTGAGTTCTAGTCCTGCCTTAGGCAGGAAAGCTGGCTGGATGACATTGGGCCAATCACCAGGAGATAAGAAGTTCTAATCCCTCCAGTTTTGCCAGGGGGAGGGAATCCAGAATATGAGATTTATAATTAAAGCTATATGCCTCAAGAGCTCCATGCTATGTGACATTACATAATAGTTCATCTNAATCACCAGGAGACGGTGAGTTCTAGTCCTGCCTTAGGCAGGAAAGCTGGCTGGATGACATTGGGCCAATCACCAGGAGATAAGAAGTTCTAATCCCTCCAGTTTTGCCAGGGGGAGGGAATCCAGAATATGAGATTTATAATTAAAGCTATATGCCTCAAGAGCTCCATGCTATGTGACATTACATAATAGTTCATCTTATTTATTTATTTATTTATTTTATAGGATTTATATGCCGCCCTTCTCCCTTCATGGGACTCAGGGCGGCTCACAGCATATTAAAACATCATACAAAAAAAAAAAAAAAAATCTATGATCTATGTGTAATTCTATCTCATATACAAGTCCCGCTTATCTTACAACCAATGGTTGGCCTTTCTTTAAGCTGGCTGAGGAATTCTGGGCGTTGAAGTCCACAAGTCTTAAAGCAGCCAGGTTTGGAGACCCCTGCTTTAAACGGCCGCTAAACGAATGGTTGTAAGCCGAGGATCACCTGTACTTTATTGTAAGGTTGGATTAACAGAATCTTGGAAAAATCCACTGTTTCTTTTATATCGTCCTTCTCCTCACCTTATGGAGATCTGGGCTGTGCCCTCTCTTCTCTGCCTGTTCCCTTGGCAGCGTGTCTTTGCCTCATCCCTCTAGGTCTTTCTCACATACCATTACAGGAAGTCCTCGACTTACGACCGCAACTGAGCCCAAAATTTCTGTTGCTAAGAGAGACGGTTAAGTGAATTTCGCCCCCTTTAATTAATAATAATAATAATAATAATAATAATAATAATAATAATAATAATAATAATATAAAGTTGAAAGGGACCTTGGAGGTCATCGAGTCCAACCCCCTGCTCAGGCAGGAAACCCTACACCATTTCGGACAAATGGCTGTCAAGTGAATGAATCACTGCAATTCTTAAGTTAGCAACACAGTTGTTAAGTGAATCTGGCTTTCCCCCCCCCTCTGACTTTGCTGGTCAGAAGGTCGTAAAAGGGGATCACATGACCCCGGGGACACTATGACCATCATAAATACGAGTCATTTGCCGAGTGTCTGAATCCTGATCACGTGACCAAGGGGAGGCTGCAACAGTCGTAAGTGTGAAAAATGGTCCTAAATCCATTTTTATTCAGTGCCGTTGTAACTTTGAACGGTCACTAAATGAACTTACTATCTCAACTTAGTCTAGTAGTTATTAGTACTTACTCTTGTGGTATACCGTATCAGGGACTGTCTGTATCTGCCACTAGGGGGCAGTTTAATCCTTCCACTGACTAGAAGGCAAAAAGGTGAGTCCTGAAAGAAATATTTTTACCACTGGTCCCAAACCAGAATCCCAAAACATTTTAGCAGCCTTTTTTCTTCAGCTGTGCTCCCATGATGTTGCCTTTGCTTGAAGGCCACACATCTTTAAATTGCCAAAGTTGGGAAAAAACACTGGCAATAGACTATAATCCTGTGTCTATTTCCTCCCCCAAAAATAATAATAATAATAATAATTATTATTATTATTGTTGTTGTTGCTGTTGCTGTTGCTGTTGCTGTTGCTGTTGTTGTTTTTGTTGTTTTGTTGTTTTGTTGTCGTTTAATAATAATAATAATAATAATAATAATAATAATAATAATAATAATAATAATAATAATAAAGTTGGAAGTGACCTTAGAGGTCATCTAGTCCAGTCTCTTCTTTAAAACTTCCAGTGTTGGAGCATTCACAGCTTCTGGAGGCAGGTTGTTCCACTGGTTAATTGTTCTGTCAGGAAGTTTCTCCTTAGTTCTAGGTTGCTTCTCTCCTTGATTAGTTTCCATCCGTTGCTTCTTGTCCTGCCTTCAGGCGCTTTGGAGATTTCCAGGGAAGGGGATCATTTAGCAATTGTAGAGATGGGTGCCCTTCTTCCTTCCTTGCTTTTCCAGTACCAAAGTGCTAACTTCACTAACTAATAAAATAATAACAGTGACTACAAACGACGGCATGACAAAGTGGCAACAATGGTGCATCGGTAGATCTGCAAGAAATACCATTTGCCTGCAAGCAACAACTGGTGGGAGCGTAAAATAGAGAGTCATAGAAAACGGAGAAGCTAAATTGCTAGAGTTGAAACAGGCAGGCCCCTGCGACACGACAAGCGTAACAATTGTCAATAAGAAAGACGAAAAAAACTTTGAACTGTGGATGGGGCAGCACTTGGAGACGGCAGAAGAGAAGAGAAAGAACTGGAGAAAACTCACAGACTACAAAGACCTGCAAATAAAGGTAGAACTTGTAGAAAAAGAAAGCAAAGATGGTACCATTAATGACAGGCATTTGGGTGCAATCCCAGAACATCTGGAGCACCACAGCCAACGCTGGCTGCACTGTTGGCTACAAATCCAGCAATCAGAATAAGTGGCCCATCAAATTTGCAGACAACACCAAGCTGGGGGAATTGCTAAAACTGGAAGATCTTGACAGATGTGGACATTAAGCCCTATCCAGCAAGAGGCAGTTTACTGGTGAAAAAAAAGGAAGGCCCTGCTCTTACTTTGACAATGACAAAAAATCACCCTCAGTCAACTTGCAAAAGGCAGCTTGACATGGAACAGCTGACATCCTGCAATGATACCTCTTAACACCATCGAACATCCACATCTGCCGATCCCAGGTATTTGGGAAGGACTCCGGGGAGGTGGACAAAAATGCCTAATCCAGTCTAAACATCTGGCTGACTGTGCAACATCACAGGCTGATTCCCCCATATCTCTAGCAGAACTCATTCTCTTCTGCAAGAGACTTGCAGAGCAGTTTTGGTCACCACGATGTAAAAAAGATGCTGAGACTCTAGAAAGAGTGCAGAGAAGAGCAACAAAGATGATTAGCGGTCTTGAGGCTAAAATATATAAGGAACGGTTGCTGGAATTGGGAATGTCTAGTTTAATGAAGAGAAGGACGAGGGGGGACATGATAGCAGTGTTCCAATATCTCAGGGGCTGCCACAAAGAAGAGGGAGTCAAGCTATTCTCCAAGGCGCCTGAAGGCAGGACGAGAAGCAACGGATGGAAACTCACCAAGGAGAGAAGCAACCTGGAACTAAGGAGAAACTTCCTGACAGTGAGAACAATTAACCAGTGGAACAACCTGCCTCCAGAAGCGGTGAATGCTGCAACACTGGAAGTTTTTAAGAAGAGACTGGACAGCTATTTGAGCAGGGGGTTGGACTAGATGACCTCCAAGGTCCCTTCCAACATTATGATGATGATGATGATGATGATGATGGATCATCGCACAGTCAGCCAGATGTTCAGACTGGATTTGCCATTTTGTCTACCTATCAAGTCCTTCCCAAAGACCTGGGATAGGCAGATGTGGATGTTTGATGGTATTACAGATCTCGTCGCAGGATGGAAGCAGATCCTAGTAAGGCCGCCTTTTGCAATTGACTAATGGTGAATTTGTCAATGCCGATGATGGTGTCCAAGTGGTGCTCCAGTTGTTTTGGGATTGCACCCAAGGCGCCTATTACTATTGGTACTACCCTTGCTTGCTTTTGCCAGAGTCTTTCTATTTCTATTTGTAGGTCTTTGTATTTTGTTATCTTCTCCAGTTCTTTCTCATCTATTCTGCTGTCTCCAGGCACTGCCACGTCCACTATCCACACTTTTTTGTCTTTCTTATCGACAATTGTTAAGTCCAGGGTGTTATGTTGCAGGTGCTTGTCTGTTTGAATTCTGAAGTCCCAGAGCAGTTTAACTTTATCATTTTTCTCTCTTTTATGATCCCACCAGTTCTTGCTTACAGGCAAATTATATTTCTTGCAGATCTTCCAACGCACCATTGTTGCTACTTTGTCATGCTGCTGCTTGTATATTATTATTATTATTATTATTATTATTATTATTATTATTATTATTACTACTACTACTACTACTACTACTACTACTACTACTACTACTACTACTAAATACTGTTCTACAAGAACATTGACCGAATTTGCACAATCTGTTGGCAATGCCACCCCTTCTCTCCCCGTATCCCTCCATCCAACCCTAAGATCTGGTCTAAATGCCCGAAGCAGCCACACCGCTGTCTCTATCCTTGGTGGGGGGTGGTGGTTTGGGTGCCTCTATACCATAAGGGACTCCAGACCAAGCTGTGAGTAGCTGCCGTTCTCTCTGCAAAGCCATTGCTATTAATATATCAGGCAACGCATCTAATCTCTAGGTTAAAGCTATCCTCTTAGGCATGCTGGTTGATCCAGTTCTCAGTTGCTGCTCCGTGACTCCCTTTTTCTGCCCCCGTCCTTCGACAACATCGGATCTCTTTGGCTGTCCTCGGTGGGCCACAAATGTGCACCCCCAGGAGAAAGGAAGGCGTCTGAAACTCCTTTTTGGAGACCCCCCGAACGTTTCCAGGCTAGGATGAGACCTCAAGGCCCATAACCTGAATCAACCCCTCTCCCCAAAGCAGGTTTTTCCCTGCCAAACACCTTCCCCCCCCCACCCGCATTCCCATCTCTCTGGGATTTAGTCGAGATGAACCAATCGCCTGCATATTCAGGGGCAAGGATTTCCGGCTTTAGAGCTTTGGGAACTGAGAGCGGCGGTGGGTGAGTACCGTGTATCCAGAGCGTTGCTGAATCTCAGTTTTTTTTTTCTCCCCCTAAACTTGGTTTTCTTGGCATGTGTGTGTTTTTTTAAACAGGAAGGCTTGAAGCAGAATAGGAGACACCCACACCCACCCACCCCAAAAAAGGAGATAGGTTGTGGTGCTTAGCTAAATCTGGGGTTATGTCAGCTCAGGAAGTTTTGAATCTTTTGGGATCAGAATAACAGAGTTGGAAGGGACCTTGGAGGTCTTCTAGTCCAACCCCCTGCTCAGGCAGGAAACCCTGTATAATTTCAGTCTCTTCCAGTGTTGGAGCATTCACAGCTTCTGGAGGCAGGTTGTTCCACTGGTTAATTGTTCTAACTGTCACGAAGTTTCTCCTTAGTTCTAGGTTGCTTCTCTCTTTGGTTAGTTTCCATCCGTTGCTTCTGGTCCTGTCTTCAGATGCTTTGGAGAATAGCTTGACTCCCTCTTTTTTGGGGAAGCCCCTGAGATATTGGAAGACTGCTATCATGTCCCCCCTCGTCCTTCTCTTCGTTAAACTAGAGATTCCCAATTCCAGCAACCGTTCCTTGTATGTTTTAGCCTCCAGTCCCCTGATCATCTTTGTTGCTCTTCTCTGTACTCTTTCTAGAGTCTCAACATCTACGGCACAATGTTGAATATAGCTGTAGATTTGGGGTGCACCAGAAAGCTAATAGTCATAGATAGGTATTTTTAAAGGTGTAAGATATGGGCTGGGGGAACTTATATATGTATATATGTTTCTGGCTTCTGCATTGCATTGAAAGTAGGGATTCTAAAGAATGTACAGGTGGCCCTCGAGTTATGACCGCAATTGAGCCTAAAATTTATGTTATTTCTTGTGAGTTTTGCCCACAGTTCTTGTGAGTTTTGCCCACTTTTATCACCTTTTAGCCACTGTTGTTAAGTGAATCTTTGTAGTTGTTAAGTGAATTATGAATCACATGAAGCCGAGATGCTTCAAGCACTGAAAATACATGCCAGTTGCCAGGCACATGAATGTTGATCACAGTACTACGGAGATGCTGTGATGGTCATAAGTGTGAGGACTGCTCAAAAGTCACCTTTTTTTCTGCCATTGTAACTTCAAACGGTTGCTAAACAAATGGTGGTAAGAAATGAAATTCAGTGGTGAAAAAAGTAAGGTTCTACATTTAGGCAAGAAAAACCAAATGTACAGCTATAGTATAGGGGGTACCTTGCTCAATAGTAGCAATGTGAGAGGGACCTCGGAGTCCTAGTGGACAATCCCTTAAACATGAGCCAGCCGTGTGCTGCAGCTGCCAAAAAGGCCAATTCAATCTTCAGTTGCATAAACAAGAGAGATAGAATCAGGATCAGGTGAAGTGTTAATACCACTTTATAACGCCTTGGTAAGGCCACACTTGGAATACTGCATCCAGTTTTGGTCACCGCGATGTAAAAAAGATGTTGAGATTCTGGAAAGAGTACAGAGAAGAGCAACAAAGATCATTAGGGGACTGGAGGCTAAAGCATATAAGGAACGGTTGCTGGAATTGGGTATGTCTAGTTTAATGAAGAGAAGGACGAGGGGGGACACGATAGCAGCCTTCCAGTATCTCAGGTCCTCAACTTACAAAATTAATTGTTCTAACTGTCAGGATGTGTTTTTCTGGATGTGTTTTTGCTGAACTGGTCCTTTCCTTCTCCGTTCTGCAACCTTACCCTGTGAACCGAAACTTGGCATGCCCCATCTCTAAGCCAACTCAAGGCTGCTGTAAACAAATATATCCTCAAGATACTCTCTGACACAGCGGATGTTTGCTTACTACTCTTCCCCAACCTGGTGCCCTCCAACTGGGCTTGCAGACTTCCCAGGAACTTCACAACGTTCAGGGTTTTGCTAGGAACTGAGTCCCAACCGAACTGGGGAAAAGGCTGAGGGGGAAAAAAAAACCTGTTATTCCTTTTTCTGTGTGTACGCACACACGTATTCTTCGATTCTGCCGTTGCACGCTTGTATCAGGCCCATATTTTACTTAGTAGTGCTCCCCTAGAAACTAGGAGACAGTGAGTTCTAGTACCGCTTTAGGCATGAAAGCTGGTTGGTGACTTTGGGCCAATCACCAGGAGATTGTGAATTTTAGACCCGCCTTTGACGTGACAGTTGGCTGGATGACTTTGGGCCAATCACCAGGAGACAGTGAGTTCTAGTCCTGCCTTAGGCATGAAAGCTATATGGGAGACTTTGAGTTGATCACCAGGCGATGGTGGGTTCTAGTCCCGCCTTAGGTATGAAAACCAGCTGGGTAGCTTTGGGCCAGTCACCAGGAGACGGTGAGTTCTAGTCCTGCCTTAGGCATGAAAGCTATATGGGAGACTTTGAGTTGATCACCAGAAGATGGTGAGTTCTAGTCCTGCCTTAGGTGTAAAAGCCAGCTGGGTAACTTTACGCCAATCACCAGGAGACGGTGAGTTCTAGTCCTGCCTTAGTTATGAAAGCTGGCTTGGGTGACTTTGGGCCAATCACCAGGAGATGGTGAATTTTAGACCCGCCTTTGGCGTGACAGTTGGCTGGATGACTCACAGGTGACTGTGAGTTCTAGTCCCTCTTTCAGCATGCAAGCCTGCTGGGTGACTTGGGGCCAGTCACCAGGAGATGGTGAATTCTAGTACACCTTAGACATGTGAGCTGCGTGGGTGACTTTGGGCCAATCACCAGGAGACAGTAAGTTCTAGTCCTTCCTTGGGCATGAAAGCTATATGGGAGACTTTTGATCACCAGAAGAGGTGAGTTCTAGTCCTGTCTTAGGTGTGAAAGCCAGCTGGGTAACTTTGGGCCAATCACCAGGAGAAAGTGAGTTCTAGTCCTGCCTTAGGCCTGAAAGCTATATGGGAGACTTTGGGTTGATCACCAGGCAATGGTGAGTTCTAGTCCCGTCTTAGGTGTGAAAGCCAGCTGGGTAACTTTACGCCAATCACCAGGAGACGGTGAGTTCTAGTCCTGCCTTAGGTATGAAAGCTTGCTTGAGTGACTTTGGGCCAATCACCAGGATAAAGTGAGTTCTAGTCCTGACTTAGGCATGAAAGCTATATGGGAGACTTTGGGTTGATCACCAGGCGATGGTGAGTTCCAGTCCCGCCTTAGGCGTGAAAGCCAGCTGGGTAACTTTGGGCCAGTCCCCCTCTCTTTGTCCACCCTACCTCACAGGACTGTTGTCATAAGGAAAAGAGGAAGAAGTATTAGGTATGTTTGCCGCCTTGAGTTCCTTACAAAGTAATAAAAGCGAGCTAAAAAAAAACACCCCAATAAATAAAATAATAAATTATAGACGAACGGAAAAATCAGAGCTATATTTCGGGGGGGGGGGGGAAATAGCCACAAGAGCAGCGTGCATAAATTACCTGTAGGTATTGGTCTAGGCCAGAAGTCCCAAAGTCCCCTTTGCAAACTCAGTTGTGTTGAATATCCAAGCAAGTGCCTGGTGTGCATAAATAAGCCACAAATGTTCTGGGCACTGATTTGTCTGTGGCATCGTTTGCTCCCGTTGACGTCACTCTGGGAATAAAAGCCGGTTTTGTTTACCGCTCACGGAACAACTTAAAGCATTTGGGGGTTGGCGTTCGCTCTCCAATACTTGCTGGGGGACTTTGCTGGTTGCTAAATGTTTTGCCGATGAAAAGAAAATAATAATTGGATGGCTTTTTTTTTCCCCCAGAAGAGATTCCAATTCGTGTTGGGAACGGACAGGTTTTCCCAGGATTCCCCCCCCCTCCCAGTTTTCCACTTTGTGTTTGGTTTGTTGAATTTTTAAAAGAGTGCGATTGCAATTTGGCCTGTTGAGCACAGGTTTTGCAAATATTTTCCTTCAAAGAAGTCATTGGTTTCACAATGGTCATCAACATTTTTGTGCTGAGTAAACTTTTCCCTAATTCCTTTTTTTTAAAAAAAGGAGAAGGGGTGGGAGAAGGTGTAAAATTTAGGAAACGGTGAATTTGGAAGAACATCTTGATTTAGCTTTGGGTATTTTGCTTCATGCACTGAAGATTCAAATGCAAACTGATTTTTTTTCCCCCTCATATGTCCTTAATATACGACAAGATGTAGTTCAGTGGTGAGAAATGTAAGTTCCTGCACTTAGGCAGGAAAAACCAAATGCGCAGGTATAGTATAGGGCAGTGGTGACGAACCTATGGCACGGGTGCCAGAGGCGGCACTCAGAGCCCTCTCTGTGGGCACGCACGCTGTTGCCCCAGCCCCGCCACTCCCCGTGGCCCCTCCTCACCAGCAGCCCCCCCCGGAGGAAAGTCGCCCCGGGCGCAGCCTGCGCAGAACAGCGCAGCCAAGGACATGGCAGCTGGGCAGCAGGGACAAGACTCCACCCTCGCGCCCCATTGTGTACAGATAATGCTGCAGGGCGCGGACAGAGGGCGTGGCCGCCATGACGCTTCTGGGATGCCTGGGTGATCTGCTGTGGCAGGCCATGGAGGTGGTGGGTGGCCCTGTGGGCAGGAGATGCAGGGTGGGGCAGAGGCAATTTGGGGGCACTCGGTCTCTAAATGGCTCGCCATCACTGGAATAGGGGGTACCTGGCTCAATAGTAGAAACTGTGAGAGGGATCTTGGAGTCCTAGTGGACGATCCCTTAAATAGGAGCCAGCCGTGTGCTGCAGCTGCCAAAATAGCCAACACAGTGCTAGGCTACATTAACAGAGGGATAGAATCAAGATCACGTGAAGTGTTAATACCACCTTATAACGTCTTGGTAAGGCCACACTTGGAATACGGCACCCAGTTTTGGTCACCACGATGTAGAAAAGACGTTGAGACTCTAGAAAGAGCACAGAGAAGAGCAACAAAGATGATTAGGGGACTGGAGGCTAAAACATACAAGGAACGGTTGCTGGAATTGGGTATGTCTAGTTTAACGAAGAGAAGGATAAGGGGGACATGATAGCAGTCTTCCAATATCTCAGGGGCTGCCCCAAAGAAGAGGGAGTCAAGCTATTCTCCAAAGCGCCTGAAGGCAGGACAAGAAGCAACGGATGGAAACTAATCAAGGAGAGAAGCAACCTAGAACTAAGGAGAAACTTCCTGACAGTGAGAACAATTAACCAGTGGAACAACCTGCCTCCAGAAGCGGTGAATGCTCCAACACCGGAAGTTTTTAAGAAGAGACTGGACAGCTATTTGTCTGAAATGGTATAGGGTTTCCTGCCTGAGCAGGGGGTTGGACTAGATGACCTCCAAGGTCCCTTCCAACTT